TAAAATTTGTTATTTGGAAACCACAAATGTGGGATGGCCAAGGTTTTGGCACAGCATCATATCACTTTGGAACCAAACTCACTTTCTGCTGCCCTTCAGTCATATGCAGACATGGCAGGGTGCTGCTAGCCTCCTCCCCATCATGTTATTTGAAAGAAAGCATATTATCAATTTGTCAGTTCACCTTCTTCACCACCTTCATTTCAAACACTTCCAGTTTCAGTACATCCAGTACAAGTGGCTGTTTGGACCATTTCTTACTGTGCTGTTACTACTACTAGAACAAGAAGCATCTATAGACTGAAAGCTACTTTTGAAAATTTGTATTTATTTTTGAACTAGATCCAACACAACCTTCTTTTCCTGCTATCTTTTGGTGAATTACTGATCACTCCATCTTTATAGCAGTACCTCCAATACAAGAGCATCCCCAAGCCACAACAGGGCAGAAATAACCTCATGATAGGATAGGTGCACTTTGTTGTTGTTAGTCGTGAAGTCCGGGAGGAGGAGGCCCGTTGCAGAACGATTCTTCGCAAGGCTAAGGCTGATTACGAGCTGAGACTTGCCAAGAATATCAAGAGCAATAAAAAGGGCTTCTTTCAGCATGTAAATAGGAAGAGGAAGGGGAGACAAGTGGTGGGACCACTAAATAAGGAGGAAGGAGATCCAGTGACTGATATGAGGGAACAGGCACAGATGCTAAATGACTATTTTGCCTCTGTGTTCTCCCCAAAGCAGGACGGGGGATATCCTCATAGGAGATTAGATGAGGCTGGGGACTTAGGGGCACAGATTAGAGTCACCCTCCTTGAAGTCGAGGGGTCCTCAGGGCATTGGACATTACAAAGCACCAGGCCCTGACAGGTTACACCCGAGAGTACTAAGAGAGTTGGCAGGGGTTCTCTCACGCCTGCTGGCCTCCATTTTTGAGACCTCGTGGAGAACGGGTGAAGTTCCAGAGGACTGGAGGGTGGCATCAGTGGTCCCAATTTTCAAAAAGGGTAGTAGAAAGGACATGGGGAATTATAGACCGGTTAGCCTTACGTCCATTGTAGGAAAAACAATGGAAAGGCTCATAATAGAGAGAGATCTAGGGATGCTAGATAGGGAAGGGAGGCTGAGAGCCACACAACACGGCTTCCGCAAAAACAGGTCCTGCCAGGCAAACCTTGTGGAATTCTATGACAAGGTTTTGTGATGGCTAGATGGAGGGGATGCAGTGGATGTGGTATACCTGGATTTCAGCAAGGCCTTTGACAAAGTGCCCCATGATATCCTGGTGGAGAAACTGAGGAGTTTTGGGATACACCTAAGCACTGTCCGGTGGATTAGGGCATGGCTGACTGACCGAAAGCGGAAGGTAACCATTAACAGGGAATCATCGGGATGGCTGCCAGTGACAAGCGGGGTCTCCCAGGGCTCTGTCCTGGGGCTGATCCTGTTTAATCTTTTCATTAACGACATGGAAGAAGGGGTGAACAGTCCGCTGATCAAATTTGCAGACGACACTAAAACTAGAGCAGTGGCCACAACTGAGGAGCAGATACTTCAGATCCAAAAGGATCTGGACAGACTATGGAAGTGGGCAGGAGACAACAGGATGGCGTTCAATGTGAATAAGTGCAAGGTCTTGCACTTGGGGCATAGGAATAGCTGTCATAAGTACAGGTTAGGTGATAAGTAGCTGGAGAGCAGCACTTGTGAAAGGGACCTTGGGGTACTGGTTGACTGCAGGCTAAACATGAGTCAGCAGTGTGATGCGGTGGTCAAGAGGGCGAACGCCACCCTTGGTTGCATAGCCAGAAGTGTGGCTTCTAGATCAAGAGAGGTATTACTACCACTCTACACGACTCTGGTGCACCCGCAACTGGAGTCTTGTGTTCAGTTTTGGGCCCCTCATTACAGAAAGGATATAGCCAGGTTGGAGTCAGTGCAGTGTAGGGCCACAAGGTTGGTGGCCGGTTTGCAGGGGATGCCGTATGAGGCGAGACTGAGGGAACTCGGTCTCTTCAGCCTGGAGAAGAGGAGACTCAGAGGGGATATTTTGGCGACATACAGGTATGTGAGGGGATGTCACATGGAGATGGGTAGAGACCTGCTCTCCCCTGCAGAGGAAGGCAGAACGCGCTCCAACGGAGCAAAGCTCAGGGAGCCAAGGTTTCGTTTGGATGCCAGAAAGCACTTCCTGACAGTCAGGACCCCAAGGGTGTGGAATGGGCTTCCACGAGAGGTTGTTGAGGCCCCATTGGTGCGGGTGTTCAAGGATAGGCTGGACGTCCACATGGTGGGCATGTCGTGAGCGGAGCCGGCTGGTGCCAGAGGTCAGACTAGATGGCCCGGGAGACCCCTTCTGACTCTGTTTTCTATGTTTCTAAGTCGTGTCAGACTCATCACGACCCCATGGACAACATTCCTCCAGGCCTTCCTGTCCTCCACCATCCCCTGGAGTCCACTTAAGCTCACGCCCACTGCTTCAGTGACTCCATCTAGCCACCTCATCCTCTGCCATCCCCTTCTTCTCTTGCCATCTATTGTTCCCAGCATTAGACTCTTCTCCAGGGAGTCCTTCCTTCTCATTAGGTGGCCAAAGTATTTGAGTTTCATCTACAGTATCTGGTCTTCTAAAGAGCAGTCAGGGTTGATCTCTAGGACTGACTGGTTTGATCTCCTTGCGGTCCAAGGGACTCGTAGGAGTCTCCTCCAGCACCACAATTCAAAGGCCTCAGTTCTTCAGCACTCAGCCTTCCTTATGGTCCAGCTTTCACAGCCATACATTGCAACTGGGAAAACCATAGCCTTGACTATATGCACTTTTGTTGGCAGGGTGATGTCTCTGCTTTTTAGTATGCTGTCTAGATTTGCCATAGCTTTCCTCCCCAGGAGCAAGCGTCTTTTAATTTCTTGGCTGCAGTTCCCATCTGCGGTGATCTTGGAGCCCAGGAAAATAAAATCTGTCACTACCTCCAATTCTTCCCCATCTATTTGCCAGGAAGCGATAGGACCAGATGCCATGATCTTAGTTTTCTTAATGTTGAGTTTCAAGCCAACTTTTGTGCTCTCCTCCTTCACCTGCATCAAGAGGCTCTTTAGTTCCTCTTCACTTTCTGCCATTAAAGTGGTATCATCTGCATATCTGAGGTTGTTGATATTTCTCCCAGCAATCTTAATTCCAACTTGTGATTCATCTAGCCCTGCCTTTCTCATGATGTGCTCTACATATAAGTTAAATAGGCAGGGCAGCAGTATACAGCTTTGCCGAATTCATTTCTCAATTTTGAACCAATCAGTTGTTCCGTGTCCAGTTCTCACTGTTGCTTCTTGAGACTATAAGACGGCCTGGTACTCCCATCTCTTTAAGAACTTGCCACAGTTTGTTGTGATCCACACAAAGGCTTTAGCGCAGTCAATGAAGCAGAAGTAGATGTTTTCTGGAACTCCCTAGCTTTCTCCATGATCCAGCGTATGTTGGCAATTTGATCTCTAGTTCCTCTCCCTCTTCGAAATCCTGCCTGTACAACTGGTAGTTCTCGGTCCACATACTGCTGGAGCCTAGCTTGTAGGATTTTGAGCATCACTTTGCTAGCATGTGAAATGAGTGCAATGGTGTGGTAGTTTGAACATTCTTTGGCATTGCCCTTCTTTGGGATCGGAATGTAAACTGACCTTTTCCAATCCTGTGGCCACTGTTAAGTTTTCCAAATTTGCTGGCATAT